TAACTTAATCCTTTGCTTTTATTCTTTCGAAATGATAGCGAATTTTCTTCATCTTATAAACGCTTAATAAGCGGTAAACAGATGTTTAATGTTTGATAACTTTTAAGCTTAGTAAGGTATACATTATCTAATGTTTTAGCTTTAGTGAACATATTCAGCTTTAATATTCTTGACTTTAATGATTTCTTTAGATGGATGTCTCTTTTCAAATGGGATTTCAAATTTTCAACACTTTTTTCACTTTTTCTAACCTTTTTGCTTTTCAGTTTCGATGTTTTTTTTTTTGCCATTTTTAGAACATCTGCTATTATTTTTTTATTGCTTTTCGTTTTATTATTACTTTCAAAATTTAAATTTTATTTTCAAATAATCGTAAATATTTTTAATATGGTTGAAAAGTTTTCGACAGAAGTGCTTTGTGTAATTTTTGAAAAATGATTCATCGCATGTTTTCACAGAAAGGAAATGGCAAAAATTATATGATATCAACCGTTGGTAGCAACTCTTATTCCAATCTATAAAAATTATACCTTTGAAAAAAATTTTTTTAACACTTTAACATTTTTACAAAATATGATGGAAATAACAAAGCAAGAAAAATTTTCATTTTCAAACCTTTAAACGATATTTTTTTTGCAGTCAGAACCATACTCTCTGCTTCTTATTCGACAGATCCTATTTTCTGAGCGATCTCAATCATTGATGACAAGTCTAATTTTGGTTCATCTTCTTATTGTTTAAAAAAAAAAAAAATCATACTTATCCAAGGCCTTTTTGAAATAATCATTGCTGTACCTGAATTTACGATTTACCAGAGGCATTGAGTAATGCCTCTAGCAAATCATAAATTGTATGATTTACTCCTGTTAGTTGTTTTTATTAAAACAAATGACATCATCATCGAATGAATTTGACATTTTTGAAGTAAAAGAGAATATGCAAAGAATTTTCAAGAAAAATAAACATACATATAGAAAATTAATGAAAATCGTTTTATTTCATTTTAACCCCTGAAAATAGTGAAAATATACTTCAAGTCTTTCCGACCATATTATTTTCCCGTAAATGCCACTTTGGATTTTCAATTCGTTATGTCATTTTTTTTTTTCTAGACTTTGTTTGCAAGTAAAAGAAAAGCATGAAGTAGTGAGAGAAGTCTTCATTTCTCATCAAGCTTATTTCTAGGATCGTTTATATATCATTGAACCTTTCCTATTCACTTAAGCAAGTGAATAGGAATGGAAATTAGAATTTCAATCAAATGACATTGAGGATTAGAATGATTTTTAAGCGAAATTGATTCCTCTTTGGGTGTGTAATTTACAAACTTGTTTTTTTTTTTTCATCCTGTTTACCTTCTAAATTTAGAAGTAATTTTGATTTGTAATGCAACACTGAAATAATTTCAGTTGTAGAAATCGTTTTTCATCCTTTTTTTTTTTTTTACACCATTTTGGGAAAAGTTTTGCTAACGAAATTAATGTCTTGGAAATTTAGGCACAGCTTTTTCTCAAAAATGCATTTCTATTCTTGTTCATACATAAGAACATATGCAATTCATAGGAGTGAATTTTTAAGCATTTAATGTTTTAAAATGAAAATTCTCGATTGCAGCATTTAAAATGAAAATTTTTAATTTGATATGTTTAATTTATGAAAATTTTAAAATCACTCTTAACCTGGCAAATCGTACGCAGAATATGCTGTCATCTAATTTTCAAAAATATCCCAAAAAAAGCAAAATTTATATTTTGTTGATTGAATTGCTAATATTATCATCAAAATTCATTTGTGCTAATTTCCCAATATGACACTTCATAAAATGAAATTATACTTCAAGGGAATGATTACGATGCTATTGTGCTAAAGAGAAGTCATAAATATACAAAGTTGAAACAGTTAAAATGACAAGTGAAAAGAAAGAGGAGATAAGTGATGAGGGATTGATGCAAAATGATGATAATGATGATAACAAGAAGATAGCAACATCCGAGATAATATATGCTCGTGGTGGAAAGGAGGATTTTGTAAGTTTAGTTAATGCCAGTAATGAAACCAATGGTTGGACGCGAAAATATCGTGATTACGATTGTTACAGAAAAATGTTGGGTCCTACAAAATTGCATGATATTGCTGCAAGGACAAAAAGTTAGCTTTAATGCTTTTCATTCGAATTTTTTTTTTTGTCTCCAATAAATGGAATGAATGGAAAGAAGAAAGCAAATATAGCTAACAAAATCAGAACATTGAAATCAATTAAATTTTGCGAAAAAATTTAATTAATATTTTGATATCTTTTTTGTTGAAATTGCTAACAGTCATCAATCGTTCTACTAATATAAATGAATTTTTTAGTTATAATATGTTCGGGTCAAATTTTTTAATGCTTTTTTTGTCCCAATGAAGAACATGTTCATATGATTCAAATATACATTTGCATGCTATATTTTTTTTCTCGAAGTCTTCATTGTCAATTTTCAGACTGATCAAAAATAATTCCGAAAAAAAAAATTTTCTAAACATGGTAGGTGATTTATACAAATTTGACATCATTAATTTTTAAATGATATTAAATTACAGTTGGTGATTATGTTGGATCATGTATATGTCTGGAATTTGATAATTATGCATTTGTATCCTTGTACTACGTACGTCCCGAATATCGGAAGCACGGTGTCGGGACTGAATTATTCAAGCGTGTTATTGATGATAATTTACGCAAGAAAAATATTGGATTAAATTCTGGTTAGTTTAAAAATTTTTCAACTTAAAATTGTCAAATTTCTTTCATAATTTTTAAAAGTGAAGATATTTATAAAGTGAATGAAGTAATGAGCGAGCATTTAATAAAGCATATTTTAGTACGAATTATGTCATCAGTATATAGCGAGAAACTTGGTTTCAACAAACAAGCATCTTGGTTGATTGATATTATTAAAGCGAAAAATATTGATAAACAAAAAATTATCGGTATTTACATAATTGCAAATAATTTTTTTTTCCAATTTTTTTGCAATAAAAATTTGAAATTGCTAAATTAAAACCTTTGTAATTTGTCAGTTGTAAAAGAAAATGATTGTTGCATTTATCCGTTTTAATTGATAATTTCAAATACAATAATTAAACATGGATAAAGGAAGTAATGTAACCGTAATATTGTCGCTTTTTTTCCCTGCTTTAGGAAAATATTTAAAAATAACTTCGCTGAGATATTAGTGAATGAAAGTTATTATAAGCCTAGCATTAAACCAATGACACTGATTATAAAGAGTGCCGAAAATAAATTACTGTAGCCTAACAGTTTCATTTGAAGTTTTAATGTAAAAGTAAAATTGCAGTTGATGATATTCATTTAACCGTAAAAGATGGCAAAGAAATAAGCCTAAAGCGAATTGTTGATTATGATGCTAAAGTTGCAAAGTATCGACGTGAAGACTTTGTTAGACAATGGGCTGTAGATCGTATTGATGGCGTCTGTAAGGTATGCTTAAATTGAAATTGTAAATTCAGAAATAAAAACAAAAAATTAGGTTGAACTTATACATTCAAAAAAAAAGACTTAACGGAAAAATAAACTGAACTTGTAAATTAAAAAAAAAAAACTTTAAAAAATGAAATTAAAATTAAAATTCAGGACTAATTGAACTTGTAAATTCAAAAAAGTAATATTAAAAAAAGAAATGTGATATTATATGCGAATGAATAATCTTACCGTTAGATGAAAAATAATAAAACTTATTGCTACATAATTGATAGTAGCTACTGGATTACTTTTTTAAATTTCAGATTAAAATGATGAAATAGCTTTTAAGACAGATATTAATAAGAACAACCAATCATGTTTGCTTTTCCTAATTCGTTTAATCGAACAATTCATGCTTACTTTAAATTGTTAAATCGATCTTATCTTTAGCAAATATTACGCAACAAGTTAAATATTTAGGTATTGGTTAATTCAAATGATGAAATTGTTGGTTACGGTTGTGGCCGCTTGCTATCAATCGTTGGCCATCCAAGTTTTGGGCCTATGTACTGTGATTCGGATGATGGATTCAAACTTCTTTTTCATGCCTTACATTCGTGTTTTAATGAAGAGCTAAAGGAGCAAAATTGCATCAATTTATTTATGCCAACGATAAAATCAACAACAGTACAACAAATGCTTCACGGTGCTGCTGAATTTCATTTGGTAAAATATATTTTATTCGTTTATTTTTAATTTTTTTCTTTTAACCTATTATTTTATATGCGTGAATCAAGAAGGCATGCATTTTGATTATTTTCCTCTAGCAAAATTAATAATATTCAAATAGCGAAGAGTTCAACAGAAACTTCAATATATCATATAAATTTTTAGAAACGAAATTTAAAAAAAAAAAAAAGAAAAGAAATTGCTTTTCAATAAATCTGATCCAATTATGATGCTAAAAATTAATTTTCAAAATATTTTTGACTTATACAATTTTCATCATTTCAGAGGGAACAACTTATTCCTCAATTCACTCAAAAAATACCCGACAACGATATTGATAAAGTTTACTGCGTTGCCGATGTAACAATGTTTATTTAATGTTTTTGCATCTTTTTTATTTTTTTATTTTTATTTTTTATTTTTGCATTCTTCTCTAACAGTATTAACTTCATAGAATGTGCTTCCTATTGATTTACATGTCTGAAAATTCTAAACTTCACGAAAATCAATGTGAAACTGGTTGCTAATATTTCGTTCACCATTTTTCGTAGATATTTCTTACTTCTGTTGTATTTTCCTTTGCATTCAGAATTTCATTATCGTATATTTTGGAATAGTAATAATGCATAATAAAATCATATTATATTTTATTTCATTTTTTTTTTACAATTTTAATAGTCATTTTCATTCAAACACTCTCTTAATAAACGATATATTTGAAATAGCACCGTTGTATAGTAAAATATAAGCAACCATCATTAGAAAGGTTTGTTCGAGTTAAACAAAAACGGTAACTTATTTTGATCCATTTTAATTTCATATCTATAAATTCAATAGACATCTCCCTTGTAATTAGAAAATAATTTATCTAAATTATAATTCTCTCCTTCTTTTTTTTTTTTTTTTTAATAATCTACCATAAATTTAGAATTGAAAAGTTAACTATACAATAATTCATTCAATCCGATCAAAATAAATTGTAACTTTTCAAATACAATTTGCAATTCCATCATATGATGATATGATTGCGATATGAATCGCTTTTTATCAATTGTATATGTTATTATTTCCACTTCGTCTCATCTTTATTCCGAAAACAAAACCGTTTGTCGCAGCGGGCAGGATTCGAACCTACGCGGGCAGAGCCCATTTGATTTCTAGTCAAACTCCTTAACCACTCGGACACCACTGCACTGTTGTATTATTTCATTGTGATTTTGGAAAGTGCTGTGGATATGTATGTTTAAATTTTAACTCGATGTTACTTTCATATACATACCTTTTACAAAATTACAAAATTTCATCTTTTTTTCAAAATTTCATCTTTTACGCATACATTTCATTAATTATTTAATTAGACGTGGATGACAATCACGTAAACGATATCATAAACTCTTAACAGTATGCTGCAAAAAATACGTTTACAAGATTGATGATTAGTTATATTATTACATAAAATTCAACTGATTTTGTTTCATTTCTGCTCGAAAGCTTCGATAATTTAAAATGTACACGAAGAGGTAACCCATTAACTATAACAATAGAGAGAATGTTATGAGGGAGTGAGAAAAATACAGAGAGCGAAGTAGTGTAATGATTGGAGAGATTTAGAGAGAAGATTGGCAAAGTAGAATGTAATTCCGTCAAAATTAGAAAGTGTTAGTTTATTGAAAATTAATAAATTAATTTAGGTATGTAAGCATATTACATCTATTTCATAATTTCAATAAATTTCAATATTATTGAAATTTACTGAATAGATTTAATAAGTTTAGATCGATTCGAACTGTTAGCATGGTATGATTTGAGGCGTAAAGTTGAAGAATTTTTATCCATAATATCTAGTCAAATTAATGATAAGTTTTGCAGATAAATATTGTTTGTGGGAAGAAATAGTTTAAATGATAATGATAATCAAAAGTTATCCATGTCATCGATTGGTTAACATTTCGGTCATCATCATCATCATCATCATCATCATCATTATCAATAATGTTTAAGAAATAATGGTAAGTTTTGCAGATAAAAACTGATAATGGGAAGGAGTGATTTGGATGATAGTGATGATCAAAAGTCATCCATGTCATCGAATAATAAACATTTCGATCATCGTCATCATCATCATCATCATCATCATCAGCAGCAGCAGCAGCATTATCATCATTATCATCATGATCAGGTACCAACCACATCACGAACACATCATCTGGTACAATCATTAATGCGAAAGAAATCAACAACTTCATTACTGCCTAAAATTATTCATCATCGTGAGGTAAAGATGATCACATATATGTTTAGCTTTTTTTTTGATCACTTTATTTGATGTTACCGTTTGTTGTGCAATATGTTATAAGTTATTAACAAGGATGCTTTTTCTAGTTGGTCAGAAAAATTGAAGAGATAGCTATAACTTGGAAGAGAAAATTAAAACTGGTGTAAATTAACTGATTATCGTTATTTAAAAAATTCTTATCACACGAAAAGTAGTTAATCTGTTTGTAGTTTATGTTATTGTTGATGTCATCCATTAATGTAATAGAAAGTTTCTATTGATAGGTTAATATCAGATAATTAGGAGTTTATTTCAAGTGAATGTTAAGCACTAATTTTCATTGTGTTTTCAGTGCTATTAAATCGATACTGCTGTAAAATAATACAGCCGGATAAAAGGATTAGCTATAAGAGCAGTTTGAAAATTCTTTATAATTTTAAACATTATTATAATGATATGTATATTCCAGTTGCATGGAGAAGCACGACAGCTCAATCGGATGACCTGTCGAGTACGTTTGGATCAGTTGGAATGTCCATATCTGGTCGAGATTTCGGGTGTGAAACGTTTTCTGGATATTACTCGAGAGTAAGCTGCTTCAGCATTCTTATTCTTTTCGGGTGGTACGCATTTTACACTAAATGTTACCACCTAATTATATTCTATGTTCTTTACTTCTTTGAATGAAGTCCACTTGAAGTACATTATAATTAATTTTAACACTATAAAGTTAATGTTTGAAGGAATGCAAAGATATTTTTGTTCATAGTTTGAATTCTGTTATCCAAACTTCAGGAGAGTTGCCGTAGATCTAGTATATTTCAAATGAAAATACTGTTTTAAACCATTTTTAAAAAATTTAAACTTAGATTTTGTACGTCTTGCGCACTAATATTTCAAGAGAATTCTCTACTTTGAGTTAACAAAAGTAGATTTCAGGTGTATTTTCATAGGTCTTTCAAATGATTCTCGCTATGCAGTTGGCTTGCTCTATTCATTATCTGATTCATATCGTTCAGGTAGTTTTTATTCTTTCAAGATTAAGAACTCAGTTTGATGATACTAGCATAAAAAGTTAGAAACTATTTTGATTGATAACTATACCATTTAAATATGGTTTGTTTAAAATGTAACATTTCAGTGGGACAAGACGAAGACGAAACAGAGCTCAACATTATTGTATTTGAATTATCAGCAACATTGCTTAGACCCGTAAAATTTTTATATTTTGTTGAATTTTGCTAAATTTACATGATGTCAGAATCTTACCGAAATAAATGAATTTTACTTTGTCGAACATTTAAATTATTGCCTTTCAACCTTTACAGGCTTTCATGACAAATTTTACTGCTTGGCCGAGTACCGCGAAAGTTTATGCAACATTCCCATACAGTTCATCGCATATCTCAATCGTTGGTTTTGCGTTAGTTTTTTCTTACTATTTCAATGGTCTGATAATTGCATCACGTTTGTACTATGTTATATTTCAAGGCATTAAACATAATTTCACTTTGAACATGTATATATCTCCAAAAAAATGTGTAGTTAACCCACCAATAATTTTGGAAAGGTTAGCCAATAGATTCAGTTTTTTATAATCATTGGTAAATTAAAGATTATCCGTTGAAAGGACACATTAATATGTGTCCTTTCAACGGATAATCTTTAATTTACCATATGTTTGTATTTTGGTCCATCTTTTTATTGTTTTAAAAAACGAATAGAAAAACTTTGTACTTGAGGATTTCAGGAAGCAAAATACTGAACCGAGAAATGCAACTAGATCGAGACGAGATTTGGAACCTTTTTCGGTTATTGCGAAAGTTAAATTTATACTATTTCGTTTCCGTATTACTATTTCATTGACTACATGTCTTGTGATGTCTTATCGTTGGAATGGCTTGAAGTTATCGAGGTATTCTTTATTGTATTTCGATAATGTAATTTTGATTATCGATAATGTAATTTTGTTCTGTGTTATTCTTATTTCAGTTATCATTTCTTGCTATATAACAAGTAATAGAAATAAATGACACTGATGTGATTAACCAAATGGGATGATGCTGTTTATTTAGTGATTTATTAATTTCTTCGACTCTGATTCGTTTTTGTGTATCCTAAAGTGGCATCAGATTACTGTGTAGTAACACTATCTCTTTTCATTTCTTCCATATTGTTAATCGGTAACTCACAAAGATGAATCTTAAAGGATGAGTGAAATATAATTAATAATTTTAATAATAAGTGAAGTATAATTAATAATGAAATATAATTAATAAGAGATGGGTGATCTTTGTTGTAGCCTTTCATTTTTTGTTTGCAGAGCAATTTTGCGTTCAACGGATCACGGTGGTATATTAAATGGAGGAACTGCACTGATTTCTTATTTGTTTACGAAGAATTGTCCTCCTTTAAAAGCAGTTCGTATGTCACGTGTGGTATGTCGTAAAATCGTAATTTTTTAAACGAATTTCTCAAAAATACATTATACAAAATTGTATTCAGGTCCGAACCGTTTCAACTGACTACATGCAAATCAACTTATTGCCTTGTGGAATACTGTTTTAGTAATACAGTTTGAATTGTGTCATTCATTAATATTGTAAACCGCATAACATTAATATAGTATGTTATATGGTTCAAGAACTGTATCACTACCAAGAAATTTTTCTTTATAAAAAAAGCAAACAGAAAATCTCAATTTATGCAAAAGACTAGAACTTTCATTCTTGAAGTTAAATCTATACCTTTGTGTGATATTTTGAAATTCATACGGACATTGAAATTGTTGAATTTATTGTTTGTTACAGATAATGCAAGTGATTGATCCAAAAATAGTGGATGGTGGTGAAACACAAATCTTTGAAGGATGTAATTCGCAAGACATCAGAGTGGAGGATGCAACCTTACATTATGGAAACACGCCTCGAGAATATCATTTAAAAAGAATCACTGTTGAAGGTTTATTTATTCTTTTCTTTCTATGATTTTTTGCTGCAAGTATATTGCAGCTAGGACAATATGCTAATTATACTTTAGTTTCATACATAAACTTGTCATTCACAGTAAGACTTTGAAGTAAATCGTTTGTTTCTATAGTTATTTGAAAAGTCATTTTAATGAGCTTTTACACATAATGAACTTATTTTGACTTCACTATTTCTATGAATAGAATTCTAACTTTTGTACCTGACTTTTAGACAAAAATCCCTCACCAGCAGGTTTATGCGAGTCGCTTTTCATCACTGAAACTCTGATGGACATTGAACGTTTGTTGTATGAAATCATGCCTGTAGTTCTTTCCCGTATGTATGGAAACTACAAATATCAAGGTTTAATTGATTATGAGGTATGTATATTCTATTTTTTTTTGTTGGAATGAGATTTTTAAGCGATTTTTACTGTTATTTTTAAATTAACCATTGCAATAGTTAACTTGTAGCTTTTTGATCTCCCAATTATGTGAAATAATTTTAGAAACTAGCCGTGATTTTACTGATTTTCGATATGTGTTCATCAATTTCTCTGATTAAGATGTCAATGGTTTTTTTTTCCTCAAAAATAATTATTAGTAAGTGGCACAGTGTTTTTACTTTAACTTTTTGAACATGCATTGTGTCTTACATCAACGCCACGTGTTGCTGCCATTCGCTTTTTTGTGATGGAGTGTTAGGCTAGCTTTAATCATAGAGATAATATCCAAGCCGTCATTGATAAATTCAATGTTGGGTACTAAACTTTCGTCTTGCAATATTAAAGTTTTTTCAGCTGTCTTCCTTATCGTTTTATAGTCGCAAGGTCTGAAAAAAATCGTTACTAATGAGATTGATTAATCTCTTGAATTTTTTTCTGTTCCAGGTGGATCTTATCGACTGTGAACAATACATAGCTAATATTGTGGTGACTGCAGTTATCGAAGCTAAAGGACCCGGTGAAGCAGGGAAAAATTCTGCTTACATTGTTGTACTTTATATAGTATGGAATACTTTCGAAGGTTTCACACATTTTTTGGTTTTCCGTTTTTATTTTATATCTCTTTTCAGTGAAACTATTTTTCCATTTTTGTATATGATTAATCTACATTTAATTCATTAAAGTTAAAAGGCTTAGAGCTTTTAACTTCAATTGCGTCATACCATTGCTTTTTGAAAACTTATTAACCTGTGATTTTTCGAAGGATCTGAGAATTCCTGCAATTTCATCATCAGTAATTATATTTTCAAATAAAAAACAAACGACAATAAAAGTTGCTTCTAAAAAAGTTTAGAAAATATCATATGTTCGAATTTATTGGAGAAAGAAGCTTTTCAGGTACACGTCAGATATCTTCCTTTAGAGGTATGCGTTTGGTTCCTTGGGCAATTGCTCATCGTCCGGATCAATGGTACCCATTTAAAACCGTTTTAAAGAAGGAATTTACGCCGGATGAACGTGTTATATCCAATATTCCATTTCTAAATGGTTTTCTTTTCTTTTTTTTTTGACCACTATAAAAAGTTGATTTCCTCCTGAAAAGAATTGGAGGAGAGAGAAGACTAATTGTAGCAATATTTTTTCTGGTTTATTAACTTCTCATTAAAAAAAAAAGTTACAATTCAAATTGCTTTTAACTCCTGCAGTCACTTTCGAGAACCATGAATAACATCAATCGTGTTTTTAGGTGAAAGTTTAGAATTTTTGGTGTCCGCTTCACCGGGAATCACTATTTGGAAAGAATTTACTTCCCGATCCAAAACTACTTAGTCCAACTAATTTTATTTGACTCGAAGCTCGGAAATATTTAAGATTTTCATCGCTGTTTATCTAAGATTTTTTTCCGTTAATGTTATCGTTACTTTCTACAATGTTAGAAATAATCATATTGTTTTTCTTATGAAAAAAAATAAAATACTCAATTTGTTATACTGCTTCATGTCACTTTTTATGCTGTTTTACTTATATGTTATACAGTTATTTTACTGAAATAAAAATTGTTCGCACGGTTTCAGCTATGATAAAATAGAAAGTTTGTGGAAAAAAACTAAAACAAGTCTGAACTAATTTAGACATTTGGATTCAAATATACTCACTATGAGAGGGATGGAAAAGAGAAAGAGATGAAAAAGAGACGGGAAAATATATATATATTTTTTTTTACAGTTTTTAACTTCATCTTTAGTAATTTAAGTCAACATTGTATAAGAATAGCTGATTTATTTTTTTACCTGATACTGCTTGTTTGATAAAATCTGTCAAATTTCTGACTATTATTTGCTTATATAAGTATTCGATTATCTTTGAGCTAACGATTTGTTACATGATTTTTAGATCAATTTTATAGTTTTATGAAATATGCATTTCATGTGTTTTCGATAATAGCCTTAAAACAATAGCTTTATTGCTAATAACTCATCAAACATACATTTGAAATTTTTAACAACAACAAAAAAAGAAAAGCTCTTGAAATCGATAATTACGGATAGTTTTAGCAAATACTAAATAGAATATTAAATGGAAATGATATACTTCGTTTCAGTGATTTTTCAATGAATTCGTTTTTTATTTCTGATTAGCGATCTTAAAGTTGTAAAATTAATTCTACTTTGTCATTTTTTTTTTGTTCATCTTTTGAATTTAATGAAATTGCTAGTCACAATATTTGTAAGATAAAAAAAGGTAGATATATGAATATAACTAAGGACAAATTTAGCAAATAATAAAAAAATCATTGCAATAATTGAATTTCAATATAAAATCCAAACAAAAATCGGTGTAAATGACAGGATCATAGCATTGAATAATATTCTTGAAAAGATGAAATAAATAACATTCCTGAAAAACAAATTGACAGTATTAATGGGTATATTCATTTTTAAAAACCAAAAAAAAAAACATTGAATATTTTTTAGATTTATTATTTCTTCAACATTCCTAATGTTAAATTGAGAGATTTGAGTTAGAAAAAATGTGTGAAAATAAATTTTCAAATAATATCGATTAAGCTCTGAAGCTATACTTCAAAAAATGAAATGGAATTTACAATTTAATGAATTAAAATTTGACAAGTTTATTTTGCAAGAAATAAGATATTCAAGAAAGAAAACTTTTTTCACAAAATACTTTTAGAAAATAAAATACTGAAAAGTATGACATACTAAAGGAAATCATTTCCGCCATGATCCATAGTTTTTGGTGGTAGAACTTTTTCCAAGTTGAAGACTGCTGTTTCGTTCTTTTGTGTTGTTCTAAATGTGTTCCATAAGTTTGAAAGTGAACGGATATCAAATTAGAGTAGCAAAATTAGAATTTCAAAATTTATTAAATATGAATTAATTTCAAAACGAAAAGCTAACATCTCGTGTAGAGCGAAAGTCATCCGTACTACTAGCAATTAAATTTGACACTGATAAAGTTAATTAATAAATAGATCGGAAACCTTTTCTAAAGATGAGAGAAAATCAATTGGCAGTTCGCAAAAGAAGATGATCAAAATTAATGTCACAGCTAATAATATTGATGCAAATGTGTAGCACTGAAATTCTTAATTTTAATAATCACTTCATGATCGTCCTGTTTAGGCGTTCAATTTGATTAACTTTCAATAAGTAAATAGCTAGAATTGTTGAATCTAATTTATCGCTTTTATTATTCTCATCAACAAAACTCAGATATTATTGAATCCAATCAATCAATTGATCAAATTATTGTCCTTTCGGATATTTTTTTTTTCTTTAACTTTCTATAACTAGAATAGCTCTTGTCATATTTTCTTCACATTATTGAAAGATTAACTCTTATCGGCATGCGATTAATCATATCAGTCATATACGATCAATTGTGCGATCCATTATATCAATCATATTTGTAACTAATAAACAAATTTTTAATTTCGATTGAAACCAAAAAAAAAAAAAAACAAACCACAGCAGCGATAAGTACTTCGGAATATTGGAATGGACCACATAGTGTTTCCGGATTTTCTTGTCTTGTAATTACAATAATGAGTATTATTAATGTCACAAATGAAAAAATGACCGAAATCCCATGAAATACAATTGTCTAAAAAAATAAATGCAATTTTGCTCTTTTTTTTTACTATAAGAATAATTGATTAAGTTATAAATTGGTTAAGGTAAAAAATGAACAACGAGAGGAAGAGAAAAAGCGGGAGAAGAAGCGAAAAAGAAATTCCGATTAAAAGATTTAACTGATTTAATCATTATCGATGAAAACAAGCAAGAATGCAAATTTCATTGGAAGTAACCGAAAAAAATTTTAATTTCATCAAATAGCAGAGAAAAAAGAATTAATTTCGGGTGAAATGTGTGTGGAATAGTAAAAAAAGTTTGGAATATATAAAATATTTTACGTAAAATGTGAAATGAATAGGTAGAATGCTAAAATTTATTGAAAAGAAAAAAAAAATCAGATCTGATCAGTGCAAATCGTACGAAAATTGGTGCGATTCGAATACGTATGCATCGGAATGTTTCACAGATCAAATTGATAATTTGAACAATGAACACAATAAGCATAAATGAAAATGCAACGATCAATTTTGTATTACTTCTCCATACGTAACGTGAAATGATAAGCGTTATTGTTACAAAAGCAAACGACTATAATAAACAAATGATAATAAACAACATCATTCGATAAAAGCAAAATAGTTAGGCCTAAAAATTTGACTAATTTTTACTGCTAGCATTTAAAATTAGTTTTGACGTTAAAATTAATTGTAATTTTTTAGCATCGAATTATAGGAAATCATAAATAATCCAATTGACTTCTTTAAACGCTGATACGAGAAATTCTTTATCAATGTCAATCGGTTATCAATTCGAATAAATCGTAGTTTGGCGAAAAAAAGAAGAAACGAACAATAATGAATTGTTCTTTTTCACAAAAACTAATTTGAAATTTTATCCAACAATTTTTTTTTTTCATACAATCAATTGATATTAGAATAAAAGATTAAAAATCCTGAATGAATGAACCGTCCCGTAAATTTTCCTAAAACAAACCGTCGAAAGAAGAGTAATGGAATAATACAGCTCACGTGGACAAACCATTCGGTTAGCCATAAGCCAATAAAAATAGTTTCGAAATTAAAAAAAGAAATGAATTATATCTGTATGCGTCATTAATCATTATTAAAATTTATGCACAATCTTTTACATTTTAAATTTCACATAAGTACAATTATATTGCTTACATATGCTAAATGCATTCTTATGTAAGCTAACATGCTTAAATTGTTCAAATTCACATCTTTTTTTTTTATATCTCATTGCTAATACTTACTTTTTAATAATCTAATTCTATAATTTTAGATTTCTGAATAATTTTAGAATAACATAACGATAGTCCTTTTTTGGCTAAGAAAATAAAAAATGATAAGTGAACAACGAAATTCTTTCAATACATCAAATTTCTACTAAAATTTTTAGGTAGTTAAATCGAGTTGAAATAATACTGACACTTTCACCTCTTTCAAAATAATTGTTCGAATTTAATTAAAGTGATCTACGAAAACTTCATATGAAGTGGAAGTGATTTATTTAGTCTTCATTTAACTTTCTTAAATTCTGTTTTTAAATAAGAAATGCTCGGATAGCTTAGGAAGAAGGTTATAATTTCCGAGAGCTATAATTCCAAGAAAAGACATTTTTATAAGTGCTATGCCTTTGTCTAACAGATTATTTAGAATTGTTGCTATCAGGAAATCTTTGCCTCTAAAAATTGATTAACTTTTAATACGGGATAAATTTTCGTAAAATTTAACAGTGCATTGCGTTGCATTTGTTACTCATTTTTATGTTTCCATTTCATTTTTATCATACGAGCATTTTTTTTTTTTTTGATTTAAATGATGTCAGGATAAATCAATTTCAGTTCAATGAATAACTTGTAATTACATAATGACATTTTAAATTATGTAAAAAGTAATTAAACATACTAAATTATAATCTGTAGAAATGTAATTTAAAAGGAATCTTGTAATTCATGCATCAATCAGTATCATTCATAATACAATAAAGAATACTGTCAAGATACGAAATAATTGATGACACAAATATACTTTCAATAATTCAAATGTATTTCGGTTCCCAAATACATCAACATAGAAATATGATTCTGAAAGATAGTGATGTAGTTGCGATATTAATGATTAGAAAAAATAAACTTAGTTGAAAAGATTGAATTTTTTGGATATCAACAAATAACCTCCCACATTATATGATTCTAATTATCTTATGATAGAATCTCCTTAGATATTACCTATTACTTAGCCTTATTAATAGCCACTAATATCAATAAGTACTAGAAATATCTTCTCTTAGCATGTTGCTTATTGATTTTTTCCAAGCTTATTGATTTCTTTAATTTCTTCAAGTTTAGCTATAGTTCCTATCATACTATAGCAGTTGTGACAAAAGAAAGACGATTTGCTTCTTTTTTGACTATTCAGCTCAATGTTTCGCAATTCTTCTCGACCTCTAGTTTGAAGAAATTTGGGTTGGAAGCTTTTTTTGATCATGAAAAGTGAGGTGAGATGCAACATCCCACCTAACTTTTCATAAAAAGTATAATTTTTCAAGTTTTCTAACAGTTCTTTACATAAACACTTACCTCACTTTGAGAATTTCTTATTAAGACTTCATATGATATAGTAATTTACAATGCTTGTCATTCTAAATTTGATAATTCAACAGTTTTTGGATTTTTCTAAAAAAAATTTAGGACAATAAAAATTTAACATTTACATAATTTCTAGTCGTATCAAGTAAGGAGAATTGAAATAAATGTTTCCAAGAATTGTACCAGTGCTACTTTTTTATTTGTAATAAATATAATATGAAAGTATGAAGATAGTAGTTAATATATTCTTAAAAGTATTCAATACGAAATAGAATGAATAAAAAGAATTGAGGAAATAAAACTGTTTGTTAAACCGGAAAAATTCAAATTTCCCAATCATACTACTTGAACTTTAAGCCTAAGCCAGTTTCTTTCTAGAAAAAACTTCCGGTCTAACTCTACGAAACATCCATAATGGTAAATGTTTTAAACAAAAGCTTTCATAGAAGAAGAACACATTTCATAATCTTAACTGCCAGTTCGGAAAATGCAATAAAGAATTTTCTAGTAAAATGTGGTTATGGCGGTTATCACATAATCAACTTGAATCATTGATATGATATGACATGTCAGTAAAAACATAAGTATCGTACAATGTGAGATTTTCCTTTTTGGATAATCATTGAACGCTTTCATCATTAATGGGATGTAGCTTGAGTGCAATCAATACCTCGAGCAGCTCGCTTTCTAGCCATTTCCTTACGACGAGCCTCATTTTTTGCTGCGATTTTTGCTCGACACATTTTTTTACTTTCTGCTGCCGATGAAACTGAATGAGCAATGTGTACGTATGTTAAACAATAAGTACGACAGTAAAGCATAAAGTAACACTTAAGAGATCAGCCCTACTCTGGAAGCTATGATTTATCCCTGCCATTTAATCATGGCATTACTTTTCGTGGTAGCTATCACTGTTATTCAACTACTATTTCACAATAACTCTAAGAAGATATAATATATATAAACATTCTACAAAGTCAAGTATAAATTTGATTAGTTCTAAAACACCAAACTTTAGTAAGGTAATTAAATAATAGGACAATCTACCATCATTTAACGACAACTCCAATAACATTCCCTAACAAATATTAGCTATTCCAATTTAAAGCTGCTTGATAAAACTAAAAATTTTTTGAGATGTGTTTAAAAAGATAACACAAAAAGAAACAAACGATAATCTATTTTGAATCTATAGATAGAACGATGGATATTACTATCTAGGTGTTCAAAAAGGGAAGCAAAATTGTTCAAAGAAATGAAAATTTTGATAAGTTAACTTTAAAACATAAAAACTTAAACTTACTCTCTGTACCTTGAACATATTCATCGCTATTCCATGAAATATTCCAATCCTCATCTTCCACTACTAAATTAGAATATAGAACAATACGAGAGTGAGCAGAGCATATTACTTCAGCAAACTTTAGAAGTTTGACATAAAACAAAAATGAAGATCCTATCATTTGCTGTAACTTTTCTAACGATTTCAAATTCCCATTTTCCTATGATCATAAAAAAAAATTCAATGTATTGTTATTAATAGTTCATAGCACAAATAGTTCAAGAAATTAATAATGAACCTGAACTAAAATCGAAATCACCCCAGCTGCTTATAGTCGAACTATCACCCCAACCATCTGTCACTGTATTACTGCTGTTCTTGACAGCAAATGTACTCTTATTCGTAATTTCACTATCACTTAATCGATCAACTGCATTCGGCTTGAGTTTAATACCCAACAAATAATCCAGATCATCTTCAACTGTAAAAAAAAACAGAACAATCATTTTTAATAACTTTAACTTCCAGTTTGCAAACAAATTAAAACAATTTTTCACTTCACTTTTTAAATTATTTAGCACTGCTTGAACAATATGACTAAAAATGAGTCTCTGATTTAATTTTGAATTAACTTTTATTTATCTTAAAATGATTTATCTAGTATATATTACATGTATAACATTACGTTAATTATTACAACTGATATCATTTTCTAAAATTTGTTCTTTTTTTTTAAATAAAAAAAGAGACCAGCAGGTTTTGTGACGGCATGCTGCAATTTCAAACCACCCTTTCCTGATGATTTCCCACGTGGATTCGACGATGTCTTAGTTGATGTTTTACCTTTGGCAGTTTTTACCTACAAAGAAAGCGAAATAGCAGAACTGAAGAAATGTTGCAGTTGAAAGTTTCAAAATAAAATTTTTTTCATTAAATGAAGCATTGCACTGCAAATTTGGCAAAGATTAATATTCTCGACCTTCAATATGAAATACTAGAAATCACCATGCAGCGTACGAATAATACATTTTTCTTGTCACAGTGAGTATTCTTGACCTCGCATAAAACTTATTATACTCTTCATTACTGTAAAATCCAAATATATACTTCCATAGCTGTGCACCAGTCTGCGAGAGTAACCTTTCGAAACTTATATAAATAAGATATTTCCTCCGTTGTCCATTTTTTCATTTGCCTGATTCTTACATGTTGTTGAGTCTACATGTGTTGATGTCTCGATGGTTAATAAAAGCTTAGTAAATTATGCGTAGAGATTATCGTTTCCTCAACGCACCGTGTAGCCTTAACAAAACTAACATCAGAAGCCTTTCTTCTGTCACCCATAAAACCATTATTTTCCGAAATCAGATCCTACTGTAAACTAATTGCTAAATGAAAAATCCATGATTACAATGTAGATAATAGTTGCTTGTCAAATACATCATGTTCATGAATTTGATTTAAAACTATCAAAAGTTAATGTTTACTTTTTTCTGCTCGTCATCCCATCCACCGTTCGTGCTTGTGGTACTTGTTGTTAGTGAATCACTATCATCCTCCCATTCTTCTTCAGTTTCTACACAAAATCTATCGTCTGTTTCACTCCAACCATCACTTGCAAGTTTTATTGATGATGTACCATATAGTCTTAATTCAGCTGCTCTTGTAGAAGATACTGGTTCACTAATGGATGTCTCTTGTTTATGCATTAACTCAACTTGATTTTGTATTGAAGGAGAGTACTTATAGAATTTGCCTGAAAGTGACTTTAACGCCCAGCTGGCCCATTGAGGTACCTGAAATATATTGCTATATGATATTAAAAGACACAAAAGGTGAATAACTTGCACTATTTGAATAAAGCGTTTACTTATTAAAAATAAAAAACAGTAAAAACAGTAAATGATATTCAAAAGAAGACCTTATCACTGCTAAGCAAACCACTTTTTCCACCAGCTTTTACTTGTGCTTCAAGTTCTACTATTAATTCTGGATTTTCGCTAGCCCTTTCTAATTTTTCGATGAATCCATGCATCGCTTTGAAACTTTGATCTCTAACCTAAACACACACTGATTTGCATTTAAAAAACCTATACAGAAACATATTAAAGACAAAAAAAAGTTAGTGGAACAAGACTAAAACCAAATAACGAATAATATACATATTGGTCACTAAATTATTAAAATCTTCAGTAATTTCATGAAATGTGAAATGCATTTTATGATAGATACTAGAAAAAACAGCATGCTAGAAAAAGTATCTTAAACAGACAATTGATATTAACAGTCAAACTATTCCCTTTAATTAGGCTTCCCTCGAGATTATGCATACATCTTGGCAGCATTCCAGAATATATGTCATATTGTAGCGTTCCTCAAATTTGTCTACCTATTAACATCTGCACAATGTGGTGAATTGTATATAGTGAATTAATGGAAGGCTAGGCCAAACAATTTTCTACAATTCTAATAATTTGATAATTTAAAAACTTTAAAAACATAAAACTGATTTCTGCTAATATATACAAAATTTAAAAATTTTACAGTACCTGCTTTTCCCGATCACATGTCACCGATGATAAGGCTGGTAATACACGATTTGCAACTTCTAGTAATGAATAGTACTGTTGAGTAGCACTAAGTGCCAAGATAGCTGCCATTCTAGCCGGGGGAAATGGGTCTTTAAGTGCACGAGTGAAAGCACTGACTAAGATCTGCTGACGATGACTTGGATCAATGTAACAACCAATTTTACCGAGACAAATAGTTGCATTTGTTCGAATGCCAGGTTGATCATCTGAGCCTGAATACAATTTAACTAATTAAATGCTTTCCAAGACTTTTCAAGATGCAAAGCCGACTAGAACAAGAAAAACAAATCACATTTCAAAAGAAATTATTACTGAGAATGCCGAAAAGATAATTCAGAATTGGAGGATTCTCTACAAGCTAAGAGAGAACTGCAACAATTGTGCGTAACGCTTCAAGGCTTTTAGAGATATACTGAAAAATTTTTAATGGCATAATATCAGAAAAGCAAAAGTCCTACCCTGTAATCTTGCTAAATGCCGCATCAGATCACTATTTAAATTATAATTATTCAATTTATCAGCCAACGAAACTACTGCTTTCACTGTACTTTCACGAATAGCTGGATTTGTATCCGTAAAACCAGATGCAACATTCCTGAAGAACAATCTTCTTCATCACAAAGATGCTGAAACTACATTAATTTACATGCAGAAGATATAAGACAAGGTCATTTCAAACGAAAAGAGTGCATTGGGGCTTCAATAAACATCTTTTTCCAACTTGACGCTGCATAACATCATCAAAATATTTATCAGCAAACTACAGATATTTAATAATTATAGCGGTTGATGTCAGATTCATCAGCAAGGTCTCTAACAAAAATTACGCATGATTCAATAGTAGCATGTGAAATTTCTCAGAAATTTGCCCAGTTATAGCAATAAAAATCAAACTCTGAATTTGAAAATCAGCTCACAAAAGCTAACCCATATATCCGTTCGTTAACAATTTGAGGCGTTAAATGAGATGCAAATTCGTCGATTCGTTCTAATAACTTTACGCGTGTTATACGATCCGGCGAACTAAATAATTTACAAATGCAAGGCACAATACGAAGTTGATATTCGTCTTCATTCAACAAACGCCCCAAATGAAACAGTGGCGTCAAGACATGTGATCCCGCATCACCGTATTCGTAAATCTGAATTTTTATTATTAAAAAAAAGCTGAAAATTCTGGAAATTTTTTCAATTTCAAATATTATTTAATGAAAATAAAATGACCAAATGAGTCATGTAATGAAGCAATAACGCAACTGTGGAGTATTACGGATGAAATAAATTAATGCGTTTTTTTTTTCTTATGTTAAATGGAAAACTACAAGCTATTTTAAAAAGATGTGATGTAAATATCACTGCACTCTTTTAAGAGCTTTGAATAATTATAGAACAAACATGTATTAATTTTGGAAGAATTCTATATTTGGCAATGTTATCAGGAAAAAAATCCAATTCGTCTCTTAGTTCGGTGAAGAATGCTTGCTTTTCATGAGCATCTTTCAGTTGAAATTCATCCAAAAACAGCAGTGTATCCACATATCGATTCTTGAAAAAGCCACCTGCTTGACGCAATTCTAAAAGTCCTTCAGTTTTGGAACGCTGAATTGAAATAGCCTATCAACAATGGTGTTGAAGTAATGTTGAAATGATTAACGTTTTTTAAAAGAAAAAGATTAATTGACATGATAAAAGTATAAATACCACAACAATAACTGCAGAAGAAATAAGTCACTGATCTTTTTTTTTCGAATTATTAATGAAAATGTCAGAAAAAATTGGAAATCTTAAAGGGAAATAGAACATTAAATGAAAAATCATAAAATAATACCCCTCAACAATTCCACAGTATCTAGTTTTGCTGCTCGGTTAGTAGCCATCTTTTTATAATGTTCATGCAGTTGTTGCGGAATTTTTTTTGGTGCTTCTGTTTTCGTCATTGATTCATTGAAACCATTGAAAATTTCCCATGTAAGTAATGCAAATGAATTAAGATCAACACGTGGATTACTAAAAAATAACATAGCTAAAACAGATTGATCAGTACATTAAATAAAATGTAAATACTAAACGAATCTGAAAAAAGTAAAAGACCATATTTCTCAAAGGAATGTAAGAAAAAAGTGTACCTGAAACTGACTGACTTCTCAAAACCACCAAGTTTCCAATCTCCACTTTCTGTTACGTAAACAGAATATCGGACATTTTCGTGACTTAATTCAGCTTCTTGATGCAGGAATTTTAAACAGCTCTATAAATTGAGGATAAATGATTTTATTCATATTGATATAAGGGCGATGATACATTGGCTAGCAATGTCGGCCTAGTCTATAGCATAATTAAATATCAAACATATAAAGTTGTGATACAATTAGCCGATCCCTAGAGCTCTGAATTTTGCAGCGGAACTTAAATCCTTCAAAAACGCACTTTGACCTTTACTTAATTCCGAGACAGATTTCCATTCACTGTACTGTAAAGGCTCATACGAATAAATCAACGGTATTTATAATCTAGAAGTGTTCCACATGAACCTATAACAGTAAAAAAGACATACCATCAGCTGAAATAGACCCCAGGAAACAACAAAATCCTTTTGCTTATCAGCTATTTTACTTTCCGTAATGTAAATTTTTAGAGGTACGCAAGCTTCGGTTATCAGATAAAAAGTACCATTCATCTGAAAGAAAAACTCGAAATAATGACTTCTATAAGTTTAACATTAACAGTACTGATAGCAATTATTTAGCAACCAACAGTTTTGGAATTAACACACAGAGAATGCTGAGATGAAATCCTTAAATTATCTCATCCTTCATCAAATAAATCTTATATCGTTAGCAGACTGTAGAAGTATACCACACAATAATGACGGATCCAAAAAATATGGTAATTGAAAATTTGAGAAAGTTTCAACTTCGCAAAAAAAAAAGAAAAATCGACAGATCAATACGATACAACTAATAACTTCTCAATGTATTACAACCTCAGTACTATCCAAATAAGCAAGAACATTTGGATGCCGAAGAGTTTTCAGTTTACGTGCTTGAGCTTTTAGCACCAATCCCGGACCACAGTCAGATAATGTTGCCCAGAAACAAGTAGCACGTTCCGAGGGTTCAGTCTGAAATAATACTAGCAGTCTTTTGTGTTTTGCAAATTAAATTTCCTGCAATTTTAATTTCAAATAATCAAATTTCATTTAACATTCACTAAATAATGTTACTTTTTTAAAACTTTCTCCGACGAATATGCCATCAAAAGTGTAGAAACTGTTAGCTGGTAGCTCATACGGGAATATACTTTTCGGATCGCGTGAGAAGAGCGATGATAAGACGGATGTCATATATTTTATATTTTTTCTAAAAATTACAAAAATATAATCACAAAAGACTCCTATCAATAATGATCATTTTTGACGTCAGCACGTAAACGTTTGCTGATTTATTGATTCATTGTCTTAAAATCATTGATTAATTGTGTTAAAAAGATTTATTGATTAATTGCCTTAAATCAAATTGATAAAACAACAATGAATGTGTATGCTTGATCGATTGCTCACATTCCCTAAATTTCACTCCATCTCTCTATTCAATTTATTCTACACTCTCTGTAAATCCTATATCATTCATTAACATTTGAAACTAATAATCACTGATAAATGATAGCTATAAGGTGATAAAAAATTTTGATAGCGATAAAGGATACACTTATCCATATCTATATCCTATGATTGATGATGCTATTCATTTCTCAATACCGGCAAACAAATAAACAATAATCTTGAGAGTATTTTAGCAAAATGATTCCGTGCCCGATGAAGAAGAAACTGCACGTCGTTGTCAAATTACCGTACTGTTGTCGACCATTTTATTCCCTGTTCAATTTTGCTCTCATTTCATCTTTTTTTTTTTGTTTTCCATTCAATTTCATCAATTTTTTTCCCTCTCCATTATTTCCTCCTTCAATTTCCCAATCAAATTTGTTATTTTATCAAAATGAAAGACATGAATAATCCATATTATACTAAATTAATCAAACTGTATGATTAATCTTTATTTGTCTCTTCTTTTCTTTGTAACATCTCTATAAAGAAGAAAGAAAAGCTGTATAACCGATAATATTATGCTTTTAATTTGTTAAAAAATTCTCAATTCTTGACTTTTATCTTTTTGAATACATTCATAAATGGTTACATATCTCGTTGTGATGATAATGATTAGTGATTTAAATTTTTATGCACTTTGCTTTCAACTAATGAGATGACTTTTTTTTTTTTTTGTTTGATAATTTTATTGATATTTTGGAAGTAGTTTTAATGATTGACTGAGAATTGTCAAGTTGATTGTATAAAGTTTATTTTGTAAATCAATGTAATATTCAGGTATGGAATGTGAATAGGATTGTGAATGTTATTCAGTTCAACAACTAATTTTGCTCATCTTTGAAGGGAAAATTGAAATTTTAGAGATTTTCTTGAATTGAATTAAATTTATTGTGATTTCTCAGCATTTGGCGGTGTTCGAATGGATAATACTTCGGATGCAAAACTGCGTGTTTTGGGAGAATCAGGACGTTCCACAACAATAATTACATTTCCTGATGATAATCCCTAAAAAAAAAAAATAAGGAAAAAAAATTCATACTATTTTTGTTATATAGTGAAATTATTTAAAACATTTATTGATGATTTATCCTTTCATACTGTTTCATTTTTGTTATTTCCGTTTGCTTTATTATTTGCTTATTTTTTACATCGTTAATCGATTACGTAAACAAATAATTTATCGATTACCTGAATAATAATCTTCTTTGCCATCTCTTTATCGTTAATGTTTATTCCATCAACTTGCAGAATTCGGTCTCCAACCATCAAACATTCAGCACTTAACGAACCGTTCATCACATGTGTCACATAAACATATCCTTCTTTACTATTTTTCACTTGCTAACAAAAAAATATATTTTAAAATTGATAAATATAATGAACATAATTCAAATTATACTTACAATAGTCTAATTTAACAATATATATATATCATTTCATTTTTCTTTCTCTATCATTAAAATTTTACAGTGGCTCATTAAAGTTTCTCATATTTTACAATGGTACATATCTCGATCTTTCCATGTTCATGTTTTAATAATCGATAAAGTCGCGTGACCTTGGCAGGAGCCGAACCTACACAATGTAGCCGACGTCTTTTCCATTGCGTCACAAGGCTACGTCATTTCATGTTTACAATTTAAAGGAGCTGCTGCATTGTTACCATATTAAAAATTAGCATAGCTAAATTTATCAGTTTATCAAGCTGAACCATGACTAACAGGTTAACTAGAAGATATTCAATGAACATTTAAGAAATGGGAAAAATCTTGGAGATTGCTTTATTACCAGTCTTATCTATGTATACCAGTTTAAATTCAGCTCAAAAACTGTAGACTGTCAAGTATTTCCTATATTCCTATAATGAAATTGAAAAAAAAAAAATTTCTCTACAATTTTTTTTTTTAAATTCTAAAATATTTCCTATCATTTTTGCACTAACAGATCAATCATATAATATCATTCATTCATTAACATATGACTGTTGTTAATAAGTAATTAATATTGGAAAACAAAAAAAAAAAAAGAAGAGGAAAGGAAAAAGAGAAGTTGAAACGAACTAAACCGATTGGTATTTCTGTTTTATGTTGCTTTGTCATTTTCACCTTTAAGTACAAAAAGCCATCACGTTTCGTGATTTCCTTATCATCAACACATTGCTCTTGCTTAATTTTTTCACCACGTTCTTTATTACGACTTATTGTTATCCTAAATTTAATCTTTTTTTTTTATCAGTAAACATTCATCTTATTAATTTTCCATTCCTTACAATTAATTCAATTTTTTTCAGCTTAAATAAATTTAATAATACTTATCTTAGTGTTATTGTTATTGTTGTTGTTATTATTATTATTCCCATAAAAAGAATGAATTTGATTAAGAGAAGGACTGATTGATTATTTTCACTATTCGTATTTTAATTTATTATTGATACGTGCTCGTAAGATTGATTTTCCTCTATCTTCTCAAACTTTTTAAACGTTTATTTTTATTTCATTTCTTTCTGTAATTTTAAAGATTGATTATAATTAACTCATCTAAAAATAATTTTTCACCTCAAATTCAATTCCATTTTTTTTTTTAATATCTTGGGAAGAAACAAATTAAAATTATTGCTATTACTTTGTAATGTGATGTTTTTGCTGAATTCGATCGAATGTATTTCGATCAGTTACAGAACAATCATTAACTGCTAAAATTTTATCGCCAACATTGATTCGATCATCCAATGCACCATTTCGTTGTACAAATGTTACAGTGAGCTGAAAATGATCGTAGAAATTAAATTTTAATTGATGATGAAATTCTCAAATAATATACTTTTGAAAGTAATAACATAGTAATTTTACAGTAGGAAGTTATACTTTAGTAATTTGTTTTTGTTACGTGAATCGCTACCATCTACATTTTTCACAAATATTTTTATTTAAACATTTTTTTTTTAGGCTATCAATAAATATTTGATAAGGCAAAAGGAAAGAAAAAAGTCTTTTTCTTTTTTTGTTAATTAATTTTAAATTTGTAAATCTTTGATTAACAATCAGCACATTCATTCTCATATCTGATTTTCTCGTGAAAACTCTTTCCACATATATTTCTATCTATGTTTATCATCTAATAATCTGTACAACTTAAGACTAACTTATACAACTTAGATTAATCAAATTATCTTTCAACTCTTCCTTGAATAGACTACTAAATATATATCAAATAAATAAATGTATCAAATATATGTAAAATGATCAATTCGAATTGTATATGAAAATAAAAGGCAGAAAAAAAAAAAACAACTGCAAACAAGACAGTGCAATCACGGCGTTTTTTTGTTTTCCACACCCTTTTCTGCTTTCTCTCTCTCTCTCTCTCTCTCTCTCTCTCTCTCTCTCTCTCTCTCTCTCTCTCTCTCTCTCTCTCTCATCTCTCACCCTATTTTGTATATTCTCATTTCATTTTTCCTCTTATAATTCAATATTTTTCTCTTTCATTTATCATTAAATGAAATTTCATTCATTCATTTATGACTAATTTTTGATTACTGTTTATTTATATTATTAAAATTTAAAATGATTAAAATCATTTAATAATTAGTACTAAGAAAGTGTTATGATATTAGAATTAAATTGTATAGGAGAAAAAAAAAAAATTTACATCTTTAGTATATGATATGCCAGGTAATTCACCAGCATCAATGTTGACATGAAAATGATGCAACTGTTCAATGTTAGCAACCATCCTCATTCCATCAATAATCTTTCTACAATGCTTGCTTGCTAATTCAATGCATTCATCAATTTTTTTTTTTTTAATTTCATGCAAATGTTTTTTCTATTTAATTTTTCATTGTGATTCAATTGTTGATTAAAAGAGATAGGATAGTTTCAGCACTAATTTCTACTAGAAATTTTTAATTCGTTTTCCTTCAAATATAAGTGAATAGGAAATTATTACAATCTTTCATTACCTTTCATTTTCCTAGATTATATTTTCAAAAAAAAAAAGAAAATTTGAGCAAATAATGAAAAATGATCCTTTCAAAACCTATTTATTACAAATGAAATGATCAAGAGAGCATTTTGAAAAATTTATTTTTAGGAAATTTAATTTTTCACAAAAAGTCGAATCTTCGAAGATGGTAGGATTATTTGAAGCTTATAAAGAAATATTAAATGGAAAATTGTATGAAAAATTCCCAGGATTATTTGATAAATAGGATTATTGTGAACAGTGTAATTTTAAATGCTTTTGTTTTTGGAAATTTTCTTGTTGAATGTGTTGTTGATAGCATTTTATATGTGCTGGCGATTAATTTAGTTAATTATTTTGTGTAACAGATTTAAATTTTATTTTCAGGATGAATATCAGAATTTGTACCATTGGAGCTTTAGCTATTGGTGCCATATTCATCATTATTGGCATTCTTTCCCTAACTATCGTACCGTTAACGGTAAGCAAAGAAGTCATCAAGGTTTGTGTTTCCTTTTTTTAGTGCATAATTTTTTGCATATTTGTTGTAAATAAGTCGTAAATAAACAATTGATTAAGCAGCTAGGATGCTAACTTCATTTTTCATTATTTTAAATAGTTGTAATGCATATTCGTGTTATAGTTATTGCTTGATTAGCTAATAAAGCTAATTGTAAAACTAATACGAATAATGCTTGTTTCCTTTGAATTTGCTATATTTTTCTCCTCATTGATATATATAATTGATATAAGCTATAGATTGAAATATTTAATAGCTATGAATGAGGAGCAAGCATCTATGGTTTATTTTGTATAATAGTATCATAGTGGGTTAAATCTAAAATTAAGTTTGTGCTTTTTTCTAAAGTAAATTAAAGTTTAATGTAAATGCGATTACAAAAAAAAAAAAACCTCTAATAATTGATCATACGATCAAAATGATTATAATTTCAGAATGAACATTTGGGTTTCGATGAGAATAACACATATAACGTGATGACTCGACGTTGGATTAAGCAGAAATATTCGATGAAACTCAAAATTTGGACCGTTTCTGTAGCAAATCCATATGATGTCGTTCGACACGGAAGCTACCCTACGCTTGTTGAAAAAGGACCATATGTTTATACGTTAGTTACTTGTATTCTACACAAGTTATTAGCTGGATTATTTTAAACTTTTTCTTTGTGCTTTATGATCTTCTGAATGATTCGAAAGTAAAATCTTTGTATATCTGTATTACACGTGAAATAAGAATATGATATCTTTTACAGCGAATATCGGAAGAGAGTGAAAGTGAATTTCATGCAAAATAATACTCGTGTATTGTTTCGTAATAAGCGTTATTACATCTATAATGAAAATGAATCATGTGCGAATTGTAGTCTGAATGATTTGGTTACGGTACCAAATGTTATGTTCCAGGTACCGGCTACTTTTCATTTTTTTTTATTCTCGTTAGTTAGTATATATTCGCGTCCATGTAATCCTGAAAGGAGTGTAGAACGAAAAGGATCAAAATATCGAGCTAAAATGATAGCAGTAAGATAAGATGATTGATGAACAATGTTAGCAGTTGTTTTGCATGAATCTTAAAATTTTGATTTTTTTAAATTTTTTAATTTTTTTTATTTTCTGTAATTGTATATTTCGTTTATGTAATCCGTTACAAATTCAAATTCGACTTTTGTTTTAGTATGTAATTAATATTGCTGCTAAAAGTTCTCCAGTGGTGAAGGAATTAATCAAATTTGCTCTTAAGCTTTTCAAACGTGAAACACCATTCATTCGTGTTACCGTGAAGCAGGTTTGATTTTCCATTATTATCAGTATTCATCTGATGTGAATCAATTGCTTCTAGGATTAGTTTAAGGAAAATAGCCTTTTGTTTATTACTGATGTTACACTTAAACAGCTGAGATGAAATTAGTTATTGCTTTATAAAAAGAGAAATTAGAACTCTGAAAGCCAAATTTGATCAATAAAATATATGCAAATAGATAGCGAAGCAAAAAATACTGTTAAATGTTTGTGTAAATTTGGAAAAAATTACTTTTTCTATTTTTTTTAGATGCTTTTTGAAGGATATGAAGATCCGATGATCGAATGGATTTGTAATAAAAATTTGACTCGTCCCCTATGTATCCTTGCAGGAATTCCAACGCGCATAAAATTCATGGTAAATTTTTAAAGTTATTTAAAAAATCCGGAAATTTGAAAAGTTTTTTTTTTTTCAGTGATCAACTTTCTGTGTAATGAAAAGCCATAGTTATAACTAAGAGCGTCCTGATGCGATAATACATATGTTGTGGTATAAAGAAGAGTGGGATGAGATTGGTTAGCTCAAACTGCGAAAATTATAGTAAGATAATTGGAATTGGAATTATAAATATTTGTTAAATGAATAGTTCATTTTTTATTTATGAAGGCTGTCGTGAAAACGAAACCTCAAACAAATAGCAAGATAAATTTCTTTGTTATTGTATCTTAATGCGGATGAAACCATAAATCATTTCCGACATGTCTATATTCCTTAAGTTCCGCTTTGTTTACGATATTTGAAAGTTCACTGTAAACCACACCTATCCTCTAAGATATATAAGCCTGACCCCAGGGGGTCAGGGTCAGTTTTTTGAACTTCATTGCTTCTACATACCGCTACTGTTCTTAAATTGCTGTTTTCAGTAAAGGTTAAAGACTCCGATCGTCGTGTATTTTTACAACTCCTCCATAAATCCCCTCACATCAATAGTACCTCATCTAATAAGATTTGCTCATCAATAGTACCTCATCTAATAAGATTTTAATTACCCCAAAATCAGCTTGACAGTAAAAGATATCTGGGAGTCATCACCCTTCCACGACAAAGGCCGTATTTTTGAAAAAGATTCGAAAATCTTTGAAACCTTCAAAAGATAATCTATTTTAGGAAAACGGCACAGATAGTGGCGAATATTTGATTGATACTGGATTGGAAGATAATAGGAAAATTGGTCAGGTGTATGCATGGAATGGACGAAATGAAACACCATGGTGGAGCACTGCACAAGCACGGAAACTGAATGGAACAAATGGAGAGTTGTTCTCACCATTCTTATCATCATCGAATGATTTGTCTATTTTTCTTGGAGAATTGGGCAGGTCAAATTTTTGAATTACACTTGGATACCTGATGTTTTAAATATTTAATAGTTATCTTTTGAGTGGAATAAATACTATATTCAGCTATTTTCTAAGATAATTCGTATTTTCGTGTTTTTTTTTTCTTCCTTTCTTATCCTTTAATTAACGAAAAAAAATTTTTTTTTTTTGAAATGATTAATTTAGAATAATTTTTTATAAAATGAAATTCATTTAAAGTGATTCCTATCAACAGCTTAAATATATGTGATATATCATTAAATGAAGAATGATAATTCCCTTATTCAGTTGATAGTCGGAATTAATTATGAATATTATTCAGTTGTTTTTTTTTTTCTTGGAGTTCCCTTAACTTCAGTAACATATCATATGCAATGGCAATATTAGGCACCATAAGTTTGAACTTATGGTCTTTGATATTTTGAATTTAGGCAAATAATTGAGAAATCTTCAGCAGTGTTATCATCACATCTAGTATATTTAAACTAACATAGTTAAACTTGCATATAAGTTTACTTACTCTTTCAGTAGAAAATTTTTTTCACGAAAGTTGAAAATTTGCATATTAGTAGCTTAGACATTCCAAGAATTAGAAAATAATCGGTTGCTCTTTCTCGATTTTTAGAGAAGCGGGCTTTTTTCTCAATCCGACATCTTCTATTCGTTTTCCTGAAATATGCTTGGGTATTATCCTAGTTTTGTTTAACCATTTTTGATGCAATATCGATTGTTTAACTTAAAGAATTATGAAATCTGAGAAGTAACATATTCTCTGTTTTCAAACTAAAAAAAATTGACCGTATTTATTTTTGATTTTTTTGCTTTTTTTTCATGCTTTTAAGAAAGCTTAAAACAGATGGGAATTTGTAAAAAGGTGATGCGAATCATTCATACTCTGAGAAATATATCACGTTTCTGATTCGTAATTTTCCCTCAGTTTTTACTTCAGTTTCTTTGCCACTTAAATTCCAAGAATTTCTTTTTATTTTTCACTACTCTTGTGTAAGTTTTGTTGAACTGCTAGAAATTTTCAAGGATAAATACTTATTCTGGATGCTTAATGGGAATATAAAGTTCTTGTGCGGGTCGTTTTTTCTTTTTTTTAAATGATATTTGGTATTTTTTTGTTCCTCGCTATAGTATCATACATTCACAGTATTTTTATTTTTTATTTTTTTTGTCCATTTATCATTTATCGAATTTATTTCTCCTATAACAACAGTAATCCAGAATATTTGCCTTAAAATTTTCAGGAAAAGTAAACAAATTTTCCGGGTAAGGATATTGAAAGAAGGTAAGAATAATGAAGTGTTACTTTTAAAATATTTCATCATAAATAACGGTTTTATGATTTTTGGGAAGTCAATAATTTTTGATCAAATAAAAAAAGAAGTAAATTATTTTATGTTTATGATTTTTGGGAAATCGATAATTTATGATAAGAATAAAAAGAGGAGTGAATTATTTTATATAAGATTTATTGGGCATATTTGACATGTAATTTCATTTTTTTATTGAAATATTTTCTCAGGTGACTGTACAAAAATACGATGATGATAAATTTATGCAATATATGAGAGTAATTGAGCGATTTTATTTTTGAAATATTCACAAAAAAAAAAGAAATCTCGTGAAACAATCTTGTGCCTCTTTTTTTAGCGAATATGTAAATGCAACAATTTTTTTTCTTCTTTAATCTTTAATCCTATCTATTTTTATCACGATAATGGAGGCGTTTGATTTTATAGCTGAGCAAATTATATTAAAATAAAAAACTAAAAAGAGTAGGATAAAATTTTACAGACATAAATTCTGCACTTATGTTCCATAAATTGGAAATCGTTTTTTAGTTGCATAAATTAGAGTGATTCATTTAAAAAAAAAAAATGAATAAACTATGTTGTGGAAGGATTGATTGCTTTTCCGCTTTTTTTGAATGTAAATATTTATCACTGATTGCCTGTTTTTTTTAGTCAAAAAAAACACGCATAACTGGAATAATTAAAGCTAAAATGATATATCGAAGAGCTAAGAGATTGAGTAGAATTGTTGAAGAGAGAAAGCATTGTAAGATTTTCAAATAATCATTAAATTTTAATAGGTTAAGTTTTTTTTGAAATGTAAATACTTTTTATTGTCTAATCATTAAATAATAATAAGATGAGAAGGTTAAAAAGAAGGATTATCGTAACCTAGTTCAGAATTAATTAATTTCAATTTTTTTTTGATGCTTAAAAGCTCTTCATTTTTTTTTTTGTTTTTTTTTGTTAAATATACAACCGTTTTTGTTCTTTTTAATCTTTAAAAATAGAATTTTTCAGCCAGCTTTTTTAGAGATTTAACTATTTGAAAGAAAAAAGAAAAATAGAAGTAAGTATATAATATGGCTGACGAGTGTTTGCAATTCGATTGGTCATTAGTAATTAGTTAGTCATTATTGATAAAGGCAGGGATCATCGATTATTTGGAGTGGTCAATGAATATTAAGCTCATTGTCTCATATCTTTCTCTCTCTACCTATAACTATGCCCGTGGCACAACAACGATCATTTGCTGGCCTTATATAGTGCTCCCGTGGCCTAATGGATAAGGCGTTGGTCTCCTAAGCCAGCAAAAGGGAGTCAACCAACGATGGGGGTTCAAGTCCCCCCGGGAGCCTAACGTTTTATATGCATACAGTGCCCATATTTTCCTCTAAATGTAACTAGTAACAATTTAAAATTACACTACAAAGTAAATCAGTTTATTTTCATATCATTCTAATCTGATTAAGTTGAAAAAAAAAATGCGCTCGCTGATCCAGAGAACGAGAGGAGAAGCAGCATCGCAGAAGAGAGTGGGAGGATATGTGACATCGCTAAGATTAAGAATTAAAAGTTTTAATCAAAAAAAAAAAAAAAAAATTCCAAACTCTATATAACAGTAGTTTAGAGAATTTTTTCCTTTTCTTTTTTTTTTTTCTCCATTTAAGATCTCTTATTGTCTATTTGTGGGCAATTTTAATGATGTTAGATAATTCAATCTGAATTTGGTATTAAAAAATTAATAATAATACAATTAACCGTGGAAAGTTTTATGCTTAGTTTATTAGTATTTGTTTAGTTTTTGCGAAATTTTGAATTAGATCCTTATAATTTCAACTTCGACAAATGAGGTAAATTTTTCAAACTAAAGAAAGTAAAAATAAATCTACACAGAAATGAAAGAAATGTTATTACTGTTAGTTGCACTCATTTGTCACTTGTTATTAGTATTACGTGATAATGTATGCCTAAGACGATAACAAACTTCATTCGCTCTTTCTGACCATGCAATTTCAATTTTTTAATTTCTATTCCAATTATTTTAAAGGGTACTCGTTTCTTCTTCGATTTCCGAATTACAGCAATAATTTATTATTTTAAACGTACTAACTCTGATTGTTTGAATGGATTTCTACTTGTGTGAGATTTCTATAAGTTTGGATTTTAATATTAAGTTCAAAACTCATTCATTTGGTAATGAAGCAACGATCAAATTTTTACACAAATTAATTTCAATATTTGAAAAAAAAAAGGATGCATTACAAATACGCATAATTCCAGATCACTTTACTTGCATTATGACAAATCAGTAACGCATGAACGAATACCATCATATCGCTACATCATTCCATCAGCAGTTTATGATCCTTTTTTACCAGAAAATAAAGGATTCTGTAACCAAGAAACGCCACGCTATTTCGATAGTGATATACAACCGGGTCAGTTTTCTACTATAAATCAAAATTTTTCTAAACTGAAAAAGGAAGAATGGGCTGATTTTACTTAAACAGTAGTAGGATGGAAAATCTGAATTTAAATGTTTGAAATGGAGCTAACCATCAGAATTTAAGTCACTCAACTCTAGACTTTATTTCTTTCAAGCATCTTGTTGGTGTCTAATTTACTGACATAGTAATGATTTCCTGATTTTATTTTTCAGAAGGATGCCTACCTGCTGGTATGTTTGATATTGGTCGTACAAAAGTAGGATCTCCTCCCATTTATCTCTCTGGTGTTCATTTTTACCAGTCACCTGCACAAGTTTACCAAAATTTCACCGGTTTTCAACATCCAGATAGCAGCGATGCATCATATATTGACATTGAACCAGTAAGCTTGATTCTTGAAAGCTTGTATATCAGGTTCGAATAGATGCTTGAATTTTATCTTTGAAAAAAAAAAATGGAACTTTAATCATTCATTGGAAAAGCTAGAAAGTGACAATTTAAATTCTTAATATTACAAAAAGTTTTGCTATTGATTGATGAATTTTGGAAAAGATTAGATATTCTACGTTAAAATTTAATTTCGCTAATTTCAGTACACGGGCGTTATTGTGAGTGCTTTTGCAGCTTCTCAAATTAATATTGGAATGATCAGTAGCAATTTATAGTTCGTTTTTTTTTTTGCTTTTTTTACAGCATTGTTAGTATCTACCGATAGCTCTACCAATGTATTAATTAAAATAGATCGCTTATGGTTGGTATTGTGAGTTTCTTTCGAGAATTAATGGTTGGAAGTGTTTTTGATTGCACTAACTTTTCTGGCAGTTTTAACTCTTTAATTCTATTACTACGAGCAATATAGGATTGATGTAATAAACGGTGAAATAACATAAATTAATATTGAATTACTTATAGTAAGAGAAAATTTAATTTTCTGAGTATTGAGGGAATATTTCTAAAAATGGCTAATATTTTAGCATGCCTGATAAAATGCCGAGCATGATTGTACCAGTAATGTGGATGAAGGAATTAATAAATATGGATGAAGACACAAAAAATGATCTGCAAAAAATTGTGTTTATGCCACGAGGAGTAAGTTATTATGATTTTGATTTAACTAGTAGATTTTGGTTATTACGATTGGTTCGAGGGCCGAAAACTTGAAAGTTTTTTTTGGTATACAATTTTGTTTGGCACATTATAAAGTGCAATTGATAAATGCATTATTTAAGTGGTTGAATAATCATACTTTAGGCACAGATACTCGGTATTGTGCTGGTTGGTGCAGGCCTATTTCTCTGGTCAATTTTCTTGATAATCTCGTTGGCGAACATGTACTTAAAGGTAAATTGTTTTTTTTTTTTAATTCTTGGCCCCCGGAATTTTATCAATTTTCAAAGGTATGATGCTATGATTCCAAACATTTATTTTTAAAAAATGTTCGCGCACAAGAGAATAACGTTTCAGCATAATTCACAAATTTTAGTCATAATAGAATTTTTTAACATGGAAATCTATTCCTTGAATCTTCAAATAAGAAGAGGATTGTTAATAAATGAAAAGAAAGTTAAAGAATTATAGAATTTTGGAAAATAGCTTTAAAATAATTAACTATGATCAATTAATCAATAATTTTCCTGTTTTAGAGGGACGCTGACGATGAAACACATCTGATTGAAGGTGACGTGGAAAACTGAGATAAATGAAAGCTGTTTTGGAGATGAACGAATTCTGAGGAATTTAAAAATATACTTTATGACCATCTCAAATTTCCGAAATCTTTACGAAATCATTTGAGCAAATGTTAATTAAAATACTGTAAAAAGAATAATTTATAAAGATGTCTTGTTAAATACTGTAGAAAAATATAAATATTTGGAAACCGAACTGAGTAAAACCGAACTTGATATATTCAACAGTTTGACTGATTCGAATCAAATTTTTATTATATGTTGTACATTCTTAAATATGTTTACATTCGAAATACAGAAATCCATTTATTAGCTGTTATGATTACGTACTGTAAATGATGCAAAATGTCGACTTTTTCCTATTATCAAAATGTATTCTTATAGTGTTCTTACTATAGCTGTAGGTACGAGGAAGAATTAAGCTTATCAAGATAAAATAACGTCCAGTAACATCTATAAACAAAATTAAGTTTTGATGTGCAAAATTAAGTTTCAATAATTGATAAGCTCGAACTAAAAGCTTTAGAATATGAATATTATCGTATTATTTTGCAAGTGATTACAATCAGGAAGAGAATTGTACGAGGTATATATGTTTCGAGTTTTTTTTTTTTTTTTCAAATTATAAAGTAGTTTAGATTGTGATTTCTACAATGTTGATTTTACTGTTTTTCTTATTCTTGAGGAAATGTTGCAATGTTTTAAATTGCACTTGATTATTTGAATTTTAATAGTTTTTCATTTTATTTGTCTTTATATGTCTTTACAATTTCAATAAATGCAAATATTTTATCTCCGAAAATATTGAAAACTGTATTTCAGTTATTTGAATTTTCTCTTTACGGAAGCCATACCAAGGATTGCACAATGCATGCATATCGGCATCATTGAAAGATATGAATCATCTCATAAAGTTGAATATTTATTCATCGAAGAGAAAAAACTTGCTCACTATTAGCCTCTTTCTGAGCATTTGAAGCTATCATTAAGATAATCATTGCCCAAGGAAAAGATGAGTGATTATTTTCTAATATAAATATTGCTCACAACATTATGAATACATGATGTGAAAAGTACTGCACCAGAACGTTTTCCATATACTCAAAATACTGTACTCAATGTAGGGCAGAACTAATAAATTACCTACATCCATATATCGGAAAATTTCTCGTAGTTTTGTCCAATTGATAAATTCATTACTTAAAATTTGATATGATTTTCAGTTGCTATTGTACTGTCTGACACTTGATCTCATTCTTTAAAAGAATTTCGGTGTTTTATGTTTATTTATTGTTATGTGGCCGTCATTATCAGCATTATTTTAGTTCGAAATTTCAAGTTTTTTCAAGCGGAATTTCAAGATAGTATAAAACTAACAATAGTTTGAAATTTGGCATATCCGCTTTGGTATATTTCACTGCAGTAACTAATCTTTGTGGTTAGCAGTTTGTTTCCTGAATAATTTTTCTTTCTTCAGTTCAAAAAGTGTTCTTCGAATGCATGAAATCGATGCACCCGAAATTCTATTATTTCTCAACAGATGATTGATACTTCATAATAATTTAATATTGTTTGAAATTCGCGAATTTTTTTTAATTTATTAAAAACTTTCAACATTTTAACAAAACAAAAGAATTCATGATAGAACCCGTAAAAGAGCAGAAAATATTAGATTCAGTAGAATAGAAGGAGTTGCAAAAAAAAGTCGTAATTCATGTGCTACAAGTTTGTTTCCGTCCTCAACTTTCATCTTACCATCCAAAATAAATCCAAAATAATACATTTCTAAAAATGATGTGAATAATGCAACGGATAGAAACAAACTAGTAGCACATTTAAAAAAATCGAAACCTCCAGCAACTAAATTTAAACCCTATTATATTCAGTTGCAGATTCAATTCAAAAATTCTAAGTTGAACACTATTTCCTGCTCTCATGCGGATCAATCAGTATACCTAGACAAGCTGATTTTTGGCACGATATTCATGGACTGCAATTCCTGGAAAAGTAGTTTGCAAGCATATGGGATTTTAATCGTTGCCATAGTTCGGGATGAACGGCACATTTGACACCAGCCTTTGTAACCAATTAAACCACACTGCGAACAAACATCCACCTAAAAATAGATTTCAGATAATTATCTAACATCAGACGTTAAAATTTAAATGTCTGAATTAAATTCCCAATCACTTCCTCAAAACAAGCAAAATTTCTGCCACATATAAAGTATTTACTAACAACAATCAAAGGGTAACTTCCATTTTCCGTAATCATTTGATAGATGAAATGAATATCATGAACTTGATTTTGAATCCGACATAATTCAATGTCAGCTAAATTTCTTGGATAGATAAACGAGATCCTAGATGTTGCAAGGACTTCACAGTCCAGATCCTAGCTTTGAAAAGAAGACATTCGAGTAATACAGACTTAAATTTAATAATTTTTGAAAAAACACACGTTCCGTAATTAAAATCTATGAATATAACTCCTTTAGATGTGCCTATTTTGAAAATTTACGTGTACAGAAAATAGTTTACTTTGAATTCATCTGATGAGACCATTAGCCTTTCCATTAGCAACATACTTGCGCCATAAGCAATCAAGCAATCCCTCTCCATTTCACCCAATCGTAAACCACCATCACGTGCCCTCCCTTCGGTTGGTTGACGCGTGAGCACTGCTCTGCAACACATATCAATTTTTATGATTGCTAATGTAACAATTTTCGCAAATTTTTTGTGATTTACAAAATTTTTACATTCCTTTTGAATATTTTTTCCAAAGTAATAGAAGCAAGTTTTGATCCTATTTTAAAAACAAAAGTTACCGTGGTCCTCTAGCTCTCGCATGCATTTTATCCAGAACCATATGTTTCAGCTTCTGATAATAAATAGGGCCAAAATAAATATATGCAAGAAGCTGCTGGCCAGTTATGCCAGATATTAACATATCTTTTCCAAGATAATTGAATCCTCGCGCCGCTAGTTCTTCGCAAACAATATCAACCTTATAAATTTTTTTATAACCTTTATGAAAAATTCAAAATTTTATGGTCAAAAAATCAAAGAAAATCATTCATCTATTTCTGGAAAAATACATTAAGTTTGCTACAAAAATAAAATGGTTCTGGATAAAATTCACAGCAATAAAATTTCCAGAAATTATTCAAAAGCTGCAGCAGAACAAATATATCTATACAGTTACTGTCTGCCGCTTCTTATTCCGGTTCTGTAATATATGCTCTGTAAATGTATCACCTTATCGCCACCGAAAGCAGTTCCGTAATGGAATTTCCCAGAAAGAATCGCATTTTTTCCGCTCAGCAATTCCATCAGTTTTCCAACAGTCATACGACTTGGATAGCCATGTGGGTTCATAATCATATCTGGGCACATACCCAGATCATTGAAAGGCATATCTTCCTGAAGAATCTTTAATAAAATGAAAAAAATTACGGGCTAACAACAGATTTCAAAAAACTGTCATTCTTTTATTTTTGCTTTTGATGCTTGAAAGTAGATCGAAAATAGTTTTAAAAATTCAAAATAAATTTTAAAAAAATGGAGTTGAATGGAGCTTTAAAACATCGAACATAAATATGACAGAATTTAGGATCAGAAGTTAGAAACAAACTCCGAGATCAGATAGTTATTTGAAAATGAAGTTCTAAATTTCGAAGGAATTTTTTAAATCTCTGAAATTCAAACCTGTTGTGCTATCAAACCACATACACCTTTCTGTCCATGTCTGCTACTAAATTTATCACCCAATTCAGGCCTTCTGCAAATAGTTCTAATTTCACAGAATTTTGATGTTTTTGAGCTTACAGAAATGCCAGAATATGAAATATGCAAAAACTGCGATCGAATAAACTTTTTTCTTTCTTTTAAAAAAAAGTAGAACTATACCTCGTTTGTCGCAAGAGTACTTTAATCAGATGAGCATCATCCTCGTTATATGTCAGTAAGACACGTTCTGCATATGATGGTACAGGATTACGATACACAATGGAAACATCTTTGTATTCTACCTCATGACCACTAACATTTGATCCGTCAATGTTCGAAGTTGCAGCACCGGCTTCCATACTAACAACTGGCATATGCTTATTGATCATTACCTTTAAAACTTAGCTCAGTTTTAGACTCAAAAATATTGATTTACAATAGAGTTTGGTTAGCAGTTGCTTCGGCATGTTTTTGTGAGAAATTACGAGAAATGATATTTCACATTTTCTATTAAAAATTAGCGAAACCAAAACCTGTTTGGAATGTATGCGTGCACCAACGTATACGATACCCTCTTGATCCAATACTTGATGTTTATAGATAGGCTTTCGTGTTGTTGCTTCAATAGTTGGTCCCATAAGACGATCGAATGTTTGATTAGGATATTTTCTAGCAGTTGCTTTGGCATGTTTGTAAACAAGACAACGACCATAACCTAAAATAGTTCGGAATTTTAAAAAAGCAAAAACAAAATAAATTTTTGAGAACTTCTAAACCTAAACCAATGAACAGCAAAACCTAATCAATAAAGAGGCTAGAAAGGAAAACCAATAGAAATAAACTTGACTGTCTGAAAAATAGCTGAATATTAAAATTTTTATCAATTTCAATAAAATTAGCCTTGTGAAATCTAAAAACAAAGCTTTTTTTAAAAGAAAAATGTCTACTAATTGACCTCTGTCAAGAGAAGCTTTATTTAGTACAAGCGCATCTTCAATATCGTAGCCACTGTAAGACATTACTGCAATAATGGCATTCTGTCCAGCTGGCAATTTCTCGAAGTTGCAAAATTCGATAGTCTGAAAGACTAATTATTACTAGAAGTTGTATGACATGCTACTTGAGCTAAAAACTTATAAAAAAACAGACGAAAAAAGCAAACCTTAGTTTTAACAAGAGGTCTTTGTGGATACACTAGCAAATACATGAGTGAGTCGATACGTTTCTGCTGATTGTATCCAATTGTACCCATTGCCTGTTTACCCATGGCACATTGATACGTATTTCTTGGACTTTGATTATGGTGCGGATACGGAATCAGGCCAGCACATACACCAAGCAGTGTGAAGGGTTCTATCTAAAATTAATGTATCAAAATATCGAATTTCCAAAATTCAAATCAATATTTCCTAAACTGAGAGATAAGAATAATAAATATTCATAACTTCGAAGATATAAAAGCATTAGAAAATTTTGAGGATAAAAAACATTAACCTCTAAATGAGTTGTATTAGGCTTAATTTGATTTTCATAAACAGCAATTGACGCATCATTCATTTCATTCACATCCAAGTATTCAATTAAACCGTCATCTACAAAATCTTCGAAAATGCGATATCCTTTTTTGAGCTCCTGTAAAAAATCTCTGGAATACTGTGATATGACATCATAACTAAGAAAGAAGCAAAAATGTCAATATAATCTGATTTTTCTAAAAATACATATATTTAACTTCACAATGCTAATGTTATTGCTGAAACAAATAAAATCTCTTTGCACGTAAGTGCTCAATTTCAATATGTCAATAAGTTAATTTTTTTCTCCTCTTATCTTTAGCATTTGCCCAGATCACTTTGTCTACAATCTTAATTACCTCGATATGCTCTTGCTTGACTTGTGGTACACCATTTTTTACAATAATATAAGGTCGACAAAGACGTCCACCATCACTGGCTATATAAACTGATCGTTGAGCAGCATTTGTGGATACCGAAACGAATTCATTGAGCAAACCATGTCTTCGAACAGCTCTTATCGTTGAAACTATTCGTTGTGGATCAATGGTCAGCCCGACGATTACACCGTTTAAAAATACAATATGATATACTCTGAAAAACTAAAAATTACCATTTTTGATCGGTTTCTTCGCTTACACCAGAAGATAATCCTAGTTATGCATTTTACAGTAGTTAATTTTTAATGAGAAAACTTACGGACTATGAATAGCAGAAAAATGAAGAGATTTAACATCTTCAACACCCGAATTGTATAGCAAACGAATCACAGGCTGCAAATATGCTTTTATAAAAGTGAATTGAATTATTTTGCAAATATGCCTTTTCAAATTTAATCTTTTCAGAAGCCAAGAATGCTGACAAACTTTTTCGTCGCTATCTGTGGTAATATGACTAATGAGAGCCAAATTCTTGACCAGACCGCAGGATTCTCCTTCTGGTGTGTCGCATGGACATAACATTCCCCACTGAGACGGTTGCAAGGAGCGTGGTCCAGAAACCTAAAATTTGTTAAACACTGAAAAAATATTTAATGCTGAACATAAATTCTTCAACCAACTTGGGCCCCATCGTTAACATTGCAGATAAAATCCCATTTATCAAATTTTTCACTATCAAAACTGCTGAATATTTTGCTTTGAACTTACTTTCCTTGTTTTCTCAAAAGTTGAGTTGATTCGAGTCATCATGCCTAACACAGAGATGTATGAAAGACGCGACAAAACCTGCAAATGTGCAAATCTTTAATTCTTTCACAATACAAAAATTTCAAAAACTGTGAAACTAATAGCGCTACAAAACCTGAGTCACTCCTTGTCTTTCCATTTTAAACCGTTTGATTGTCCAATTTCCAGTTGCTAAAGCATCGGCTAGTGCATTTGTTATTAGGTCCTAAAATACGTCTTATGACCTGGAATAAAAAGTAAAATGCATGCAATATATTTGAATGTCTATAATACAAGTAGTATGATGGTGAACCTGACGCATATGTTTAACTATATCAAGTGGAGCAGCCAGCGTTTTGCCCAAACTATTATCAGCAATTCTTTTCAATTCAGAATTGAACCTGAAAATATTCTCTTTCTGAAGTATTTTAATGAATTTTTAGGTTTGAAATGCTTGTTCCTTCAAGCAATGAGTAATGTTATAAGTATGGAAGCAACAATGAGACCTTTTGAAAACATCCTCAAATAACAGTGCAAGTAACGAGCCTGCCAACTCCAAGCGTTTATTTCCATAAAAATCACGATCATCACATTCAGTGTCACCAACTTCTGCCTGCATTAATCTAAAAAAGTATAAAACAGCAACAAATATCACTTTAAATCCATTCTTTACTTGGATAGGCTGTATTTCCTAGGCAAAAGAATAAAAAATTTAGTCTTTTTTTCATACCTTCTAATCATCAATCCCAAATAAATGGCTTTCATTTTCATATTTCCTTCGGGACATGGCACATGTGCAATCATTAAATTTGATAAGAAATCAATGGCTTCGTGTTCACGTGGTAGTGTTGACGTACCAGAAGCAACTGGACCAAATTTGCGCATTTTAACCTAAAAAGCAAAATAAGCACATTACGAAAATTATTGAATTCATTAATGTAGAGGAAAAAACATAAATAATTGTTATTCCAACTTGTCATAAAGCGAATTTCAATATTTTCAAAAAAAGAACCTTTGAAGCTATATACTGCAATGCACCTTCTTGTGTTACAATTTGATGACTTGCACATTCCTCAATTGATGGCGCCATTGCAGCAACAAACTTCTCCTCCAAGCCAACTGCTGAAACGATATCATGGTCTGATTCGAATCCCATCGCCTGAAGTAATCACCATTCATAGAGCATTCTAAATGTCTCAAAATCTCAAGTAAATAAGTTGACTGCAATAAAAAATACAAAAAAAATTTTGTGACACTAAAGCAAAACGTATAAACTACGAAATCTTTTTAAAAAACGATTTTGCAATTTATACATTTTGACGAGCAACATGATATATTTGCATTTTCGGCTATAATCAGCAGTGCACATATAAGCTAACACGTCGAAAAGAGAAATGCATTTTAACGCAGTTGTAGGAAGAAGCCTCAAAATTAAGTCATTATTGAATAAAATTGATGTTTATTTACAATCGCTTTTACTCTACATCAAGAAAGTAAATAAGAATTTGATAATCTTATAAATGAATCGCTGAAAAGTGTTTCGTTGTTTCCTAGACCATATTTTGTTTGACATTTACCTTAAAAACAATAGCTACCGGAACGTCATCAGAAAGTTGGTTATGACGAACGTAATATCGTTGCTTTTTACTAGCAATGTAGGTTTTACTTTTGCGTTCCTGTGTGGAGCTGAGTATCTGAAAGTATAATTTATATATTTCGGATCCAACAAATTTTTTCAAAAAAATGATATAAACTGTTATTTAAAATAAAAAATGAAATAATAGTAGGAAAAGAGTAGCTGACCGCAGTTTAAAACTCTGAATTCGAATACATTTGCATTAATAAATGTGAGGAATATTTTCAATAAAAACAGCTAAAATACATTATATACAGTGGAGTTTTCAAAAGTTGAGTTTATAATTTTAGACTGCGAAAGTTTGAAAAATACGAAATGCAGTAAATGAACGGAAATTAAAGTATGAATCAACTAAAAAATTTAGCGTACTTCACACTGCAACTCTTTTTTGCTGTTTCGTCCAATCATGATACGATTCTTTGAAAGCTGTTCTTGGATAAGAACCACTTTTTCTGACCCACGTATAATGAAATAACCACCTGGATCATATGGACATTCTTGAACACGTGCCAATTCACTTTCGTTCTTAAGACATTTTTCTTTTAAACCAATTTCAAATAATTTTTCCTTTAAATTCTAAAAGCCAAATAAAAACCTGGTGTTCATTGAATTTCTGAAATCAAATCTTGGAATTTCCGCGAAAAAAACATAGAAGTACCATATTTTTTAAGACACATTTACTGGAGCGTAGCATAACAGGCATCTTGCCGATTATAAGACCATTTCTTAAGACACGTTGACTGCCACGAGTATATTCAATATCGACCGAAATAGGTGCCGAATAAGTCATATCCCGAAGACGACACTCATGCGGACTAATCTTGTCATTGATTTGATTAAAACCTTCCTCGCTTGATGGCATTCCAACACGGATATCCAAATACCTGCAGTTAAATCTTTCTTGAATACACCTTAGTTTTATTCATGCTTTTTTTTTCTTTTTCCAAATCTCCAAACTAAATCACCTCTATTTGGGTTCTGATCACTGTAATACAGAAGTGTATGCATTTTCTTTTCGAAATTTAAGATGACAAGTACACTTATATTTGGAAAGATAAATTACTTCAAATAAAATGATGGATTCGCATCGCTTGTGATTTTATCATTAGCTCGTAAAATATTTTTGATTTCAGTACTGACGAAATAATCGTAGCTGGCAATGTGTTGCTTTACAAGTCCACGGACCTTTAAGCACAACAAATGTATTTTTAAAACTGCAAAGTCTCTTTAATTTTTCTTTTTTTTCAAATAACTTCTCTTATTATTTCACATTCAAATAACTTCCTTTCCTCCTCCCAAAATTCGTTAACTATAAATAGATGCTGGTTTTAAATTTTGAATAGCTTTTTTTCTAAAACATTAGCTATTTTGATTTTGACGCCTAAAAGAATATGTGAACTACAGTTCAATTTTATTTACAGCCTTTTGTATTATTATTCCCATATTAGCATTTTAAATTAAGGCATCATCTTGAATTCATCAATGGTTCTGACAAAATATTATAACTATTTCGTACTTATGATGATATCATTTAAATAGTTGTATATAAAGTTGCTTAAGCTTCTGACAAACTATGCTACTGCTCAAAATATAATTAAATAAAAATATTTAAGTGCATAAAGCACCGCTACAGAAGTATACAATCACACTGAATTATATATTACCTGCAAAAATGCTGGCACGAGGGTCCATTTATCTTTCACCACTTGTGTTTCTTCAGTAATTTTTTCCGTCATTTTCAATTATTTTAATCACAATTGTTAACTAATTCCACCATACATCTATAATTAATTTCACGCACACATTACACATTTTCCTTCATGAATAAATAATTCCATTCTCGTTTTGCATCACTTCATTTTAGTTGACAAACAAGTAATACGACAAATTTAATTCATTCCTCAAATTTAAAAAGTGAAAAAGAAAAAATCACCGCCTCACTTCAATAAGCGCAAATTGCCAAATGAAGCCTTTTGTGTTACCTCCTTCGTATCCGAAGATTGCTCATAGGAGCACTGTGCAATTACTCAGTCCATGCATGCCATTTTCTTCTTTTAGCGAAATATACTTTGTCTGAGTAATCTGTCGGTAAAGTTAATGGAATATGCTGGTATTTGTGCATGAGAAATATTAGTAAAATTCATAGATGTTTGCAAATAAGAAGTCTCGATACTATAGGAATAGTTGTGATTGTAAATGTTAAGGTGATAAGAAAATTTCATTCAATATCAAAAAAAGTAATGTATTTATTTAGAGTAGAGAAAGCTTGTGTCACAACTTTTTTGTTTTTTTTTTTT